GATAAGCAGTGGTTTGTTGTGAAGCTTAACAATTATGTGTGCATAGGAAATAGTAACGGCTATGGATGATGATGATGAGGATGATGATGACAGTGATGACTGTGGTGGTGATAGACAACGCATCTATCACCTAGATGCCTTCCACACAGCTGGAACCACAGGCACACCAGTTGCCCAGGCTGGTCGCGAACATCTGAACTCAGGATCCTCTCGCCTCAGCCTCCCAAAGTGCTGGGATTACAGGCTTTGGCCACCGCGCCTGACCTCCAGATGCCTCTTAAATAGGATGCCAGACGGCAATCTAACTTTTTGAAAATACTGCAAAGCTTCTTAAAATGCATATGTATACATATATACATATTGCTAATTAACAGGTTCCATCTATGTGCCAGGCACCTAATCCTCACAAAGTTCTGAAGAAGGGTATTATAATCTCCACTTGATAAATAAATTTATTTATTTATTTATTTATTTACAGTCAGAGTCTCTGTCATCCAGGCTGCAGGCAGTGGCATGCTCACAGCCACCACAGCCTGGACCTAATGGGCTCAGGTGATCCTTCCGCCCCAGCCTTCCAAGTAGCTAGAACCACAGGCACACCACCACACCCACTTAATTTTTTGATTTATTATAGAGACCAGGCCTTGCCAAGTTGCCCAGGCTAGTCTCTAACCCCTGGACTCAGGCAATCCTCTCACTTCCCAAAGTGCTGGGATTACAGGCATGAGCCACCGCGCCCAGCTATAATCCCCAATTTAAAGAAGAGATAACTCAAGCTTAGGAAAAGTTTATAGTGGTTTCCCTCTTGCAGCCAACAAGGCAAAGAGTAAAAATGGGATTCAAACACAGGTATATCTGGCTCATCTCTGATATGTTGTGTGGTAGGCAGAATTCTAAGACTGACTATCAGTGACCTTTGCCCCGGTAAAATCTCCTCCTCTTTGCGGGTGGGTTGAACCGTGAATATGATGAGATGCCATTGGAGTGAATATGCTACATTAAATGGCAAATGGGAGATTAAGTTGTGGAAATACCCTAATCTAATCACATGAGGCCTCTCAAAAGCACATTTTCTGATAGCAGCTGATAGCAGAATGGGAAGTCAGAGAGATTCAGAGTACTACTGACTTGAAGATGGCGGGGGGCATATGACCAAGGAGACATGCAGCCTCTAGAAGTTAAAGCAGAACACAACGGACAGCAAAAAAATGGAGACCTCAGTTCTACAGCCACAAGGAACTGAATTCTGCAAACAACCTAACTGTACCTGGAAGAGGATTCTTCCTCAGAGCCTCTATACAAGGGCCCAGACCAGTCAACTTCTTGACATCAGCCATGTGAGACCTTAAACAGAGAACCCAATGAGATGTCTGATCTATAGAATTGGGAGATAACAAATGGGTGTTTTTGTGTGTGTGGTAAAAAAATACATAAAATTTACCATTTTAACCATTTTTTTTTAGAGTTGGGAACTTGCTCTGTTAGCCAGGCTTGGGTGCAATGGCTCAAACACAGCTCACTGCAGCCTCAAATTCCTAGGCTCAAGTGATTCTCCCACTTCAGCCTCTCCAGCAACTAGGACTTTACAGGCATGCACCATCATGCCTGGCTCATTTTTATATTTTAAGTAGAGATGGGGGTCTCTATGTTGCCCAGGTATTTTAAACATTTCTAAGTGTACAGTAGCATTAAGTACATTCACGTTGTTGTGCAACCATCATCACCATCCATCTCCAGTACTTTTTCATCTTTCCAAACTGAGGCTCTGTACCCATCAAACACTAAGTCCCCATTTCGCCCACCCCCAATCTCTGGAATTCACCATTCTACCTTCTGTCTTCATGAATTTGACTACTCCAGGTACCGCACATAAGTAGAATCATGCATCGTTTGTCTTTTTATGATTGCCTTATTTCACTTAGCATAATGTCCTCACAGTTCATCCATGTTGTAGCATGTGTTAGAAATTCCTTCCATTTTAAGGTTGAATAATATTCCATTGTACCACATTTTGCCTTTCAACTCATCTGTGGATAGATACTTGGATTGCTTTTACCTAACATAAATATACAAACAGCTGTTCGAGTACCTGCTGCCAGTTCTTTTGGATAGATATACAAATGGGTGTTTCTGAAGCTCCTTCATTATCTTGAAAATTAGGTAAGTAAAAGGAAATAATTCAGCAGTCATCTTGCCTATTTGAACTACATCAATGAGCAACCAAGTAACAGATGAAGAGAAGTCTCTCTCTTTTTAAAATTACTTTTGATTTTAAAAAATTGCTAAATGATAGACCAGCATCATTTTGCAACTCTCAATAAGATAATTGGTGTAGGTAATGAGCGTCAACAACTCTTAGTATCAATAAAAGGCAAAAACTAGACACTAAGTGCTTCCTGCTACAAGAACATACCACCACCTATGGTCTTGCCAAAGGAATCAAATCTGAGTTTGATCCAGACGCCGATCCAGCAGTCAAGCTGCAGCACACTGACTGTGTGCAATCAGTGAAATCTATGCTATGGCAAAATCCTACATGTCAAAGGGTCTGGATTCTTCTCTTGACAAATTGTAAACATAAGACATCAAGCTAAAAAAAAAAAATAGGCAAGATAAAGCTATGGAATTTAGTAATGTGAGTTTGGGTGATAAAATTATTTTTAAAAATGCAAGAAATGATCACTATAACAGAAGTGATGACTTTAGCAGACACATAAAGAGTGTAATTTAAGATAGGTGTGGTGGCTCATGCCTGTAATCCCAGTACTTTGGGAGGCAGAGGTCAGAGAACTGCCTGAGCCCAGGGTTCGACACCAACCTGGGCAACTAGAAAAGACCTCATCTCTACAATAATCAAAAAAATAATTAGCAGGGCATGGTGGTGTGCGTCTGTAGTTCTAGCTACTTGGACAGCTGGGGCAGAAGAATCTCCTGAGCCCAGCAGGTCAAGGCTGCAGTGGCCATGAGCGTGCCACTGCACTCCAGCCTGGGTGACAGTGAGACACGAACTCAAAAAAAGAGTATAATTTAATGGGGAGGTTTTAGGGACAGCTGGCAAAACTCTATTTCTTAACCTGGGTGGTAGTTATAAGGGTTAATAATTAAATAAGTATATTTAAAAGCAAAAATAAAAAATAGACAATATCAGTGCATTAACTATAACAATGAGACAGTGACCCAAATTCAACTGAATTTAACAGAAGTGCTGTCACAGTACAGCTCTACTAAATTCTCACTAGACAGAGTGATGGCTGAGGTCAATAGCAAGTGCATAGAAAAGCAGTAAGACGAAACAGACAAAAGAGAAACCAAAGGAGATTTTTTAAAAAGCAAAAACGATAAGTTGAACTTTTACATCTTTATGCTATTACAGATATACCATCTGCTCAACACAGGCCTTTCTCATTTCCATCCTGCAAATCTGCCATACTTACTCCTATTTCAATGCCAGAACTTTTCCATTAAAATGTGGTTCCTTTCTCAGAGTTATTTCCTAATTCTACCAAGGAATGCAGGGGGAAAAAAAAGATGACGGAAAGAAAGAAACAGGGTCCTGAAGAAAAAAAAGACTCCTAGAAACTCATTTACCTAGATATAATGGAGGTAGACCCTTCTGTAAATATAATGGAGTACAAAAAACTAGATCTCCAGTTATGCATTCTTTCTTACCTTGACCTATTTGGACAACAGTGGAAACTGAAAGCAGCATGAAGCTATAGGCCTGCCTTCCCAACATGGTAGCCACTACCCATATGTGGCTATTAAGCCCCCTCCCTGAAGGGCAGCTACTGTGAATTGAGATGTGCCCTTAGTATAAAACACATACTGTTTGGGCATGGTGGCTCACGCTTGTAATCCCAGAACTTTGGGAGGTGGAGGTCAGAGTATTGCCTGAACCCAGGGGTTCGGGACTAGCCTGGGCAACCTGGCAAGACCTCGTCTCTACACTAAATCAAAAAATTAGCTAGGTGTGGTAGTGTGCACCTGTGGTTCCAGCTACTTGGAAGACTGAGGTGGAAGAATCATCTGAGCCCAGTAGGTCAAGGTTATGGTATGCGGTGGCTGTGAGCATGCCACTACCCTCTCCAGCTGGGCGACAGAGTGAGACTCAAGTCAAAAACAAAAAACAAAAAACAAAAAACACTGGACCTTGAAGACACAGTATGAAAAAAAGAATTCAAAATATCTTAGTAATTGTTTATGAATTACATATTAAAATAATAGTATTTTAAGCTGGGCTTGGTGGCTCAGCCTGTAATCCCAGCGCTTTGGGAGGCTGAGGTGAATGGATTGCCTGAGCCTGAGGGTTTGAGATCTGCCTGGGCAACCTGGCGAGACCTCATCTCTACAATAAATCAAAAATTAGCCAGGCATGGTAGTGCATGCCTGTAGTTCCAGCTACTTGGAAGGCTGAGGCAGAAGGATCACTGGAGTCCAGCAGGTCGAGGCTGCAGTGGCCGGGAGCGTACTACTGCACTCAAGTCTGGGTGACAGAGTGAGACTCCAACTCAAAAAAAATAAAAAAATTTTTTAAAAAATAGTATTTTAGATATACTGACCTAGACACAATATTAATTTTGTCTCTTTTTTTTACTTTTTAAATGTGGATATTAGAAGATTTTAAATTAGATATCAGGTGCACATTATATTTCTACCAGACAGCACTGCTACATATACCATTATTAAATAGTGCTGAACAGGAAGAACAAAGCTAGCCTAAGAATGAAGAACAGCCCTAGTCCCTTGTTTGTAAAATAGAGGTTAAAAAAATCAGTAGGTGCATTAAGTGGATACAACATTAAATCACAGGCAAAAATAACTGAGTTCTAGTCCTGGTGCTGTTACTTGAAGAAATCACTTCCTTCTGGGACTTAGTTGCCTGCCTGCCTGTCCCAATAATTAAGAAAGCAGAACTAAATATAGACTTCCATGATTCCACCAAAATATATACTTTTTCTTTCTGTCAAAATTGGTTTTCATAAAAATGAATAAATACTCACCCTGAGTCTAACACATCCTCTGCGAGAGCCTCTCATCATTTTGTCCTTGGACTAAAAGAAAAACAAAACATTCAATGAATAAAACATGAGCAGACTGAAAAATGTTTTAGTATCACCTGGGAATAAAAAGACAAGATTTACAGTAATAGCCATTCCTTCTGCCCACTCCCCTTGTGAAAAGAAATCACTTTGGATAGGAGAATTAATAGGTTTTAAATGAAAATGGTTTATAGTCTCTACAAATTAAACTTATCATAGACCTGTACGCATGCCTTTAATGTAACATATATTACACCATTATTTTCATGCCCCTTAATTCTAGCCCAGTGTTTCTCATATTTCAGCAAGTCAGGGCATCACTTAGAAGACCAAGAATTACATGGAGGCTTAAAATCTCTCCCAGATGATTCTGAGAAAAGCAAACAGAAGACCACATTTTGAGAAACACTGCTCTAGGTTTTCCTCGTTGCAATTCCCCAGTGGATGACATTTTTTGCCTCTGTGGCTTTTCACGCGATGTTCCTCAGTTTGAAATATCCTTGACCCAGATATTCTGCCTTGCTGTCACTCTGAGTACCTAAGCTCTGCCTGATTCAGAGTCCCACCCTGGACTCCCGAGTCTCCGGCATGTTCCCTCGCTGTGGCTGCACCACCCTCTGTTAGTACGGCTGATTTACTTGCCTGACTCACCCACAAGACTGCACACTCCTTTAGGGGTAAGAATTATATTTGACTTATGCTTCAGAACAGTGCCTGGCACTCATTTGGTGCTCAAAAAACATTTACTGATGAAACGTTGCTTACTCTGTCTCCCACACTATACTGAGCCAAGCAAAAGAGCTTTTTAGTTTAAAAATACTTAATTATTATTTTTGTATATTTTCTTTACACTTTTGAAAGGAAGATAAGTATAGGGTATAGCGAAAGGGTTGCTAAATGCTTAAGAACTGTTTTTGTTAACTATGTTTTCTTTCAATAACTGTTATTATTAGTAAAGAACACTTATGTGACAACAGAGAAGAAAAAAAAAAAATAAAAAGCTCTTCTTGACCCTGCTGGTATTGAGATATTTTTTCAAAAGTGTATATGTTCTTATATTTAAATGCAAAGTTAAGTCAAACAAGATAGGAACCAATATATTGTAGGGCAGGGCGCCTCACGCCTGTAATACCAGCACTTTGAGAGGAGGAGGCGAGAGGACTGCCTGAGCTCAGGGTTCAAGACCAGCCTGGGCAATTTGGTGAAACCTCGTCTCTATAATAAATCAAAAAATTAGCTGGATATGGTGGATTGTGCCTGTAGTTTCAGCTACTTGGAAAGGTTGAGGTGGAAGGATTGCCTGAGCCCAGCAGGTCGAGTCTGCGGTAGCCATGAGCATGCCACTGCACCCCAGCTTGGGCGACAGAGTGAGACTCCAATTCAAAGCAAAACAAAACAGAGTAAAATGTAAGTGTCACATGAAAACAGGCACCAAGTGGTGTGAAAACTCCAGAAGACTCTCATGAGAAAAGATCAGGGAAGCAAAGTTGAAGTGTCTAGGTTTCAAGTTTCAGTGAAGGGAGGGGGTTATAAATAAATAAATAAAGGAATCTGATAAGAGAGGGAGAAAGGGAAGCTGGGGGGCAAAAGTCACTTCAACCAATGGAACAACATCTGCAAAGGCACCAGTGCAGAAGAGGAGAGGAGACTTATAGACAAGTGCAGAGAGGAACTTAGAGATGAGGCTGAAAGGAAGATTACAGGGACCATATCCTGAAGGATCTTTTAAAAAAAAATGAAGTAGTTAAGGAAAGGAAACTGTCCTCAATAATTAGGGGAGAGTTACTAAAGGTGTATAAGGAAGGCAATAAGATTCTTGAAGATGTGCCTTAGAAAAATAACACTGCTAAGTATGAGGACTTGGGGAAAAGGATAAAGGCAGCATAATTAATAACACTAATAACAGCAGCAGGCGTGGTGGCTTACACCTGCAATCCCAGCACTTTGGGAAGCCAAGGCAAGAGGAATGCCTAAGCCCCAGAGTTGGAGACCAGCATGGGCAAGAAGGCGAGACTTCATCTCTAATAATAATTCAAAAATAAAAATTAGCCAGGTGTGGTGGTGCATGCCTGTAGTCCCACGCCTGTAATACCAGCACTTTGAGAGGAGGAGGCGAGAGGACTGCCTGAGCTCAGGGTTCAAGACCAGCCTAGGCAATTTAGTGAAACCTCGTCTCTATAATAAATCAAAAAAATAGCCGGATATGGTGGATTCCAAGCAGCTGAGGCAGAAGAATCACCTGAGCCCAGAGAGTTGAGGCTGAGGTAGCCATGACTATGTCACTACACTGACAGAGTGAAATTCTGACTTAAAAAAAAAAAAAAAAAGCAGCAGCAGATTCTCACTCATTGAAACCTTCTGTGTGACTGACAGACACTTTATATATAGCCCTGGCATGGTAAGAATCATTCATGTATTATAAATGATAGTGTTGGTCCGGCATGGTGGCTCACGCCTATAATTCCAGCACTTGGGGAGGCTGAGGTGAGAGGATTGCCTGAGTCCACGGGTTCAAGACCAACCTGGGTAACTTGGTGAGACCTCATCTGTACAATAAATAAATTTTTAAAATTTGCCAGGTACATGCCAGTAATTCCAGTTACTTGGAAGGCTGAGGCAGAAGAACTGCCTGAGTCCAGCAGGTAGAGGTTATGCTGGCTGTGAGCATGCCCTGCATTGCAGCCTGGGCAACACAGTGAGATCCTGACTCAAAAAAAAATTTTTTTTTTTAAATTAAAGTATCACTAAAGAGATCCAGTAAACTACCCAACATTAGAGATGTAAAACATAGCAGCGTTTCACAATTTGGAATGGCTGTCCCACAAATCATTCGCCAGACCTTATCTGTGCTCTCACAGCCTTGAGTCCCCCCTGTTCCACACATCACAGGGACCTGCCGTCATCCTCTCCCCACTCAGCTCTAATGTGCAGCCTCAGGGAAGCTGGGGTGACCGTCCCCCAGACACAGTGGAGTGCTGAAGTGGTGGTTACCTGACACAGCTGGCCAATCACAGGACCCACCACTACACAAGGCAGGACAGAGTCATGTCCCAGAAAATTTTTGAACTGAGGCTAAGGGAAGAGCTCCATCCTATCTGCTCTTAAAGCTGTGAGGTACATATGCCACCAGTCATGTGCCTTCCGTGTGAAAAGCGATAAATAAAGCCTACTCAGATAGTGAAAAAATAGGCACTGGAGACTTGGAAAGGTGGAAGGGTGACAAGGGATGAGAAATTACCTAATAGGTACAATGTACACTAATCGGGTGATGGTCACACCAAAAGCCCGGACTTCACCCTATGCAATACGTCCATGTAGCAAAACTGCACTTGTACCCCCTAAATCTATAACAATTTTATAAAGTTAATTTAAAAATTAAAAATAAAGCCAACACAGCAAGAGAAGAAGAGAGGTGAGAAGCAAAGTCCTAGTTGCCAGTGATCTTCAGCCTCACTCTGGCCCGAAGCAAACCTGCCTCAGTCAATGCCATTCACAAATATTAGGTTCTTTTTGATGAATCCTAGTAGCTTTTGGCGATGTGAGAAAGGCAGTTAAGATGAGATTAACCCAGCAATCTTCCTAACAGGTGTTACCTTTTCAAGTGAAATTCGCTAACAAATGTACTTTTTAGCAAATTGGCACAAATTTCATCATGTGATGCACAGCTTGGGTAATGCCCTTCCCTCTGCCTCCAAGGCCCAGCACCTCAAAAAAAGATCCCTCTGAAATGGAAGCTACAATCTTTTCATTTGGATGAGAACACTAGATCGCCATAAAGTGGAGAGATACAGAACTGATGTGTTCTATTACTAAGTGACTCTAGGGCTACCAAAGACTGTTGGGTTTGGTGGTTGGGTTTGCTGGCTTCCTGTATCTCATTCATACAAGGGCAGTCAGTTCTGTTATACCAAACCATGCAATAAAAAAAAATATTTTTTTCTTTGAGTCAGAGGTTCACTTTGTCAGGCAGGCTGGAATACAGTGGCATGATCATGGCTCACCACAGCCTCGCCCTTCTGGACTGAGGCGATACTTCCACCTTAGCCTCCTGAGTAGCTGGGACTACAGGTGTCCACCACCACGTCCAGTTCATTTTTAAAAATTTTTTGTGGAGACAAAGTGTCACTATGTTGCCCAGGCTGGTCTCAAACTCCTCGGCTCAAGCAATCCTCCCCCCTCTGCTTCCTAAAGTACTAGGATTACAGGTGTGAGCCACCACATCCACCTCTTCAAAATCTTTATGCTTATCAGTTAATTCCAAGGCATTGATTCCTATTATAATCTGTATTAAAGTTTTCAAAGTAAGTTAAAACAAATACAACACTATGCTGCCTGTGATATTATCCCCCAGCAACCATTCTCCCCTTCCTCCTTTCAATAATAACACCCTCTACCCTAAGTTTTAACTGAATACATGGCTCTCCCACTGGACATTATATTTCCAGTTCCCCTGTCAACTAAGCACAGGCTATGTATCTACATACTGGCCAGTGGGCTATAAATGGAAGCAATGTGTACAATTACAGAGTGTGCTTTAAAAGAAAACTACCCGAAATACATTCTTCACAAGTGTCCATGGAACTTTCTTCAGGACAGACCACATGTTAGGACAGAAAACAAGTCTCAATAAATGTAAAGGGATGTAAGTAATACAAACTATATTCTCTGATCACAATGGACTGGAATTAGAATCAGGTAACAGAGGGAAACTTAGAAAACTCACAATTACGTAGAAATTAAACACACTCCTAAATAGTCAAGAGATCAAACAAAAAAGTCACAGGGTAAATTTTTAAAAATGGAGATGAAAGAAAATGAAAACACAACATATCAAAACTTGTACATAGAAAATTAGAGGGAAATAATTTCCCTCTACTTTACAAAAGAAAGATCTGCCAGAGCAGTGGTTCAGCCTATAATCCCAGCACTTTGGGAGGCCGAGGTGAGAGGATTACCTGAGCCAGGGGTTCAAGACCAGTCTGGGCAACTTGGTGAGACCTCGTCCCTACAAT